TTCCTCTCTGACCCTGAATTTAAAGAGTTCTTCTCTGACCCAGAATTTAAAGAGTTCCTCTCTGACCCTGAATTTAAAGAGTTCCTCTCTGACCCAGCTGTGTAATCCCTGTAACTATGTTTACTTATAATGAAGGTAGAACCAGGTCTGTTGTTTCCCATGAGTCACTTTGTTTGTTGGAGAAGGAACGTGCCGTCGACTGTCATGATTCATACTAAATCATGGTGAGATACTTATTACAGCATGATTTACAGGCTCGTACACAGAGAGGGGCTGAGGTGATGTCCGCCTCCTCTTCACCTACACTCTGTTTAGTCTCTCTGACTGTTTACAAGGCTCAGTGTGTGAAGTCCTTCCAGTCACACACACACACACACACACACACACACACGCACACACACAGTGGAGCTGTGGTTTGCAGGGTTAGGGTCTGAACTTGAAACTTGAGTTTTCTGGAGCAGCTTCATTGATTTTTATCGTGAATACTTTGGTTGGTTTATTTTATTTCAGGCTTGTATTTACTTTTATTGTGACACTTCTGTGTTTTTACTGCCGATGTTTCAATCCATGACAGTCGTCTCTTACAGGTTCTGTGAAAACACAAATATCCAAGTCAGTTGCTCTGGACATTTTCTGGAACTTTGTAAAATGTCAGAGTTGTTTCCCTCGTTCATCTCACTCAGGTGAATGTTGGTCAGGCTCAGTCCCGGCACACTGACTGACCATGATGATGAATTCCCCACAGTGCTCTTGGTTCAGTTTGTTTCCGCTGCCCGACGCTATTGTTAGTTAGTGAGCAGGATCTCAGCTGTCGTCACGCTGATAGAAACCACCGATCCACTGCTTCTAAACCTGTTCACACAGTTAGAACTCCAGACACACGACAAGGACATCAAGTTAGTGTGCTGACATATACACAGTGACTTCAGGGTCAGGAGTCCAGGTCTTTACCTCTGAGGAGTCTTTACCTCTGAGGAGTCTTTACCTCTTTACCTCTGAGGAGTCTTTACCTCTTTACCTCTGAGGAGTCTTTACCTATGAGGAGTCTTTA